ATTACAAGGCGAACTCCCAACTCTTGAGCCACGATCGCCCCTTTTCTTTAAAGATTACTCTTACACTGAGATATTTTCGGGAGCTGTTAAGCATGATGCTGTGCTGCAAAAGAGATAAATCATTACTGCTACCATGCACAATTTTAATACTAGGCAGTTTCAATTAGGCCGTGTGTCTTACTGTACAACACAATCCAAATTAATGTGGCCTTTATTCACAGAAAATTCCTTTTTCAGGTACTTGTCTGCTTGTGACTATTCATATAAAACGATCAAAAACATAAAGTAAAACTCAGATGTAGTATAATATTTTATTAAAGTTGCTGTGTTAAACACTGAAATAGATAAATTAGCTTGTAAATAAATAAAAAAAAGTCAAGCAACTTTAATGCTGTTAAAAAAATATCTATATTGTCATGCCAGTGTAACTGCAATAAGCCATTCTTATCATAGATCATTAAAAAAAGGAATGCTGAACCCTAACCAAGTCCTGACATCAGTAACAGGTACAGAGCTCCCCCTACAGACACTGATATCTTTAGTTTATCAGTGTGCTGTCTGTAGGGAGTATTTGTGCGGCTCTTTAATCCACCTGTATCACTGTGTTCACTCACAGAACAGAAATACACTCCACTGTCTTCAGGCACCAGCTGTTTTACTGTCAGAGATCCCGTCTCTTCATTGGTCTTTGTTGCTGGAAACTTTTCCTCACTGAAGCCACTTTCATATGTGTGAGTACTGTATGCAGTTGTAAAAACAATTTGCTTCATTCCCTTCCCTGGCAACTGCTGATACCAATACATCTGTCGAAATGCAGCCCCCTTAGTGTGGTTGCAGTTCATTGTGACAGACTGACCCTCGGTACTCCACAACAGGGGAGTCTGTGAGACATCGCTCCCACCAGTTAGACCTGAGAATGAAAAAGTCACATCATGTAACAAGACCTCCAACAACTTTTCTATATGTTAACTAAAAAAACCAGCATAGCAGCTTTTAGTGTAAAATAACAACTTGTAAAGTACCTCCGATACAGAGCAAAGCTGCAGAGAGTTTGATCAGAGCAGCTGTGATCATCACTGTGTTCTGAGCAAACTGAAATAGAAACCACAGTCAACTGTCAGCGGGTGTGATATATGCAGAGATACATGTGGGAGTGTCACGTTACTGTGAGAAAGTGTGTGTATGTACTTGAAGTTTATTTAAGTAGAGCAGATAATGGAAACTGGAATGGAAATTGCATGTAGGATTCTGTTCAGCTCTCTGCTGTGTCTGTATCACTGTGCTTGCTCACAACACAGAAATACAAGCCTCTGTGTTTTTGGCTCCAGGTTCTTCACTGTGAATGTCCCACTCTCAGGAACTGACTTGCTGGCCGAAAATTTCTCTGTGCTTATTTCCATAGTCATGGTCATCATCATTTTTGGCTATACTTATGAACACAATTAGTTCCAGAGTTTGTCCTGGCAGCTGTCTATACCAGTACATCTGGAAATAGACATCACCCTGTGTGTGGTTACAGTTACATTGTTGCACTTCCACCCATCCTTTCCCACAGTATGGGAGTCTGTTGGACATCACTTCCATCAGTACCACCCGTGTGTACAACAGTTAAAGTTAATCAAGTAAACTTTTTAACTCTTGCACTTGACAGTTGTCGCCTTCTGATAGCTGGAATATATAAATGCTGATCTTACAATATTTTACCCTCAACTAATGACAGGTTCATAAATGTTGTCACCTTATAAACTTTACCTTTAATCCAGAGCACAAATACCAACAAGCTGAGCAGACTGTATCCAATAACAGTCATGTTCTCTGTTGGTTTACTGTATTTACAGAGATGTATGATGTTCTTTTATCCTATAAGCTGGTGTAAGAAAAAAAATCTGCTCACACGTCAAGTAAAATGCATA